GGCGAGTGCCACGTTGACATGATGATGTGTTTCTACAATTACTGTAGATGATGTTGCTCTAAGTAAGCCGTCTACTAGGACTTGGAGCCATCGACTTTGAAGTGGTTTCTTTGCGATGGTTTCTATGGTTTGTCCTTGAACCATCGAAAGAGCCTTTCGTTCCTTGCTTCAAGTTCTTCGTTCTAAGAGTTGGTTGATCCAACATCGATCAACGGGACGCCTCCCTCCTTTGATCGATGCGTCCCACCCTCCACGACTGTCTTCGGTGTGGGTTCTTTCCCGACGACTGCGAGTGATGGACCCGCCCAGGCGTGCCAGGTACATATTTACATTTTTAATGACCTAGAATAGGGGTACACCACTCTGGGTACATAGTGGTTGCTATAATATAATATGTACATATTGAATTACCAGGCACAGAGTGGTTGTACACGACTCCGGGGTGTTCTCCACCCCTGCTATTCGAACCGCATGGAAGCCCCCAAGAACCTTGTAGAGGTCAATTCTCAGGGTTCCACGTTCGTCAGGTTGTCGGGGGGGTTATCTCCTCTATTCATCCACCAACCGATTTACCTATTGGTTGTACGGGATACCGGGAATATCTGATGGTAAAAGTCCAACCAACCATCTGTAATCCTTTCATCAACTAACCAATGGAGTTCAGTCCGTCTATGCCAGCTCCAGCCCTTTGACCCGGCGGGGTGCCCGCCCCATCCACGTGTTTTCTTTGACCGCTTTAAAAACCGCCGTTGTTCGGTCGCTCCGGTCGTGCGTAGGTCCTTGACCAAGCTCACGTCTGCGTGCGCAAGGGTCGCTGTCGAAGCCTGTCCGGTGGTGGTTACTCTCCCTGAAAGAATTTATGGTGGATGGTGGATCCCTATAACCCTAAGAATCCTTGGGCTCTCCATGGCAGGGGTCGGACCCTCCATAGCAGGGGTCCGGGCCCTCAAAACCCTATCTGTTTGAGGGCCCGGATTCTTAGGGAAGTCCAGTTCGACTATAGTTTGACTGGCTGAAGTAAAGGAAGTTCCCGAAATCAGGTCCCCGTTCGTCAGACCATTCTTTTTATAGTCGACTGGACTCCCAGGGGGATGGCATTCCTGTAGGAATGACCATTCTCAATCCGAGTACCAAACAGGTGGCAAACTCCACTTTCATGATTAGCTCAGGGAGTGTAGTTGTTGATGGAACATGGGTAATATATATTACGATAGGTATACTCACGGAGGCTCATTATTCGCAAGGACGTTCCATGTGCGACATGTGGGCAGAATTCATTTGGAAGGTCCCTCATATGATTGATGACTAAGAACCTCTGCCTAAGAACTGACATGAACTGACCAAGAGCGGCAGGATGTTTGAAGGCCTTTCTTGTACCAAGAGAACACGCAGAACTGCACATGGCTCATTCGTTGATCACAAATAATTTGAGGAGTTGTCTTTGGCACTGCATTGGAGGTCTTGCAGCAGAGAAAGCTTTTGGATGCCTCGATCTTTATAGTACATATAGAGGCTTCCATTTTGCATTCCCAAGCAAGCACATCATAGATCCTGTAAAGTCCTCAGAAAGATCACGACATGGTTTTGTCCACCGCTGAACGAAGATACCGAACCAACTGCCAACCGTCCAACTGCCCCCTCGATCAGTCTTCGTCCGTTTCTTCCAAAACGGACCCACCGGAACACCTGTCCAGGTACCCGTATAGTACCTGGTACCGCCTTCCAGGCACCGCCCTTTGACACCCATGCCCCCTTTGACACCCCCCAAAACCCTGCCAGGTACCCTTACTACCACACTTCAGATGAGATTCGTGCTGAGGCCGACCGGAGTTCCGAGGTTCGACCGAGGGTTCCGAGGTCTGTGCCGCAGGGGGGCGGGACGAGGAAGCCTGGTCCACTCTGGGCCAAGGGGACGGTGTACGTCTGGAGCACCGCATGTACACCAGGGTTGTTGCTCTCCATCCCTTCTTCTTCCTGGCCGGGACCCAGCTGGCCATGGGACGCAAGGGCGTTTCACCTGCGAACCCCCCTGGAAGAGACCTCTATGGAAACTGAAAAACCACTGGTGAACGTGGAGGAAGTTGGTCTTCCCAGGTCCATGCCGGTCGCCCGGTCGCCATGTGGGTCTCGGGACCCGGGTGTACGGATTGTCCATCTAAGTCATGTTTCTGCTCTGAAAAGAGATAGACGGAGACTGTTGCCAACTGGCGGACAGCGTTTTTTTTTTTGTCGTTGGTTTCAACCGATCGAAGGTGTCAAGTTGATCGACCGATCGAAGTCATTTCAATGGCAGACGCCTAAATACCGCGCCAGGCTCAGCGCTTGGTGTCCGGCTGCGCTGCGAGCTTCCAAACCATCGAAGATGGGGAAGCAAGCACCTGAGTGAAACCTGCACAGCTGCAAACTTCTTTTTAAGCCGCAGAAGTTTCAATTGGAGTTCATGTAGTTGATAGCCACTGCAAAAACCTTGAACAGAGGCTGAAGTGACTGAACAATACGAGTTGCTCGGTAATAGTGGAGCTTGCATATTCTGTGTGCTGACTGCGGTCAGCCAGAAGTTGTGGTCCGGGGAGAAGAATCAGATCCAACAATTGCCCCAAACCCTACCACTTTCCAGAATGGCTTCACAAAAAGGGACCATCTAAGATCTAATTTCTGTGCTTCACGATTCTTTTTTTTCGCATGGTGTGTCAACCACCTCCACGCTCTTCCGGTCATTTCCGGTCGAACCTTTCTTCTCTTAAACCAATTCTGGGAGGAGGGGTATTTTTTTTGGATTTTTTTTGTTTCTTTTTTGGTTTTTTTTTGGTTTTTCGTGGCTTCTGGCTTCTGGCTTCTGTGGCTTCTGGCTTTTGTGGCTTTTGGCTTCTGTGGCTTCTGGCTTTTGTGGCTTTTGGCTTTCGTGGCTTTCGTGGCTTCTGTGGCTTTTGGCTTTTGTGGCTTTTGGCTTTTTGGCCTATCCATCTATCTGTCTATACATATCTATTTATCTATCTATCTATCTTTCTTTCTTTCTTTTGGCAGCTGTTCTCCTTTCTCTTTTTGTATTTGCTTTTCCTGTTGTTTTCGTTGCAGAGACGAAACCAAACAAGGAAGCGAGCAAGCAAGCAAGCAAGCAAGCAAGCAAGCACGAGCTGCTCACCTTTGGATCTGGTGTGCTGCTGGGGGGGGGCGCTGCGCCCTCCCCCCAACCCCCCCCGCGCCACGAAATCTGCACTTCATCCCCGACACCCGCGCCTGCCACGAAATCAATATTTTATGGTGAACTCCCCGGTGCAAAACTTTCTAACCAAGCAAATATGCCTCCTCTATCTATCTATCTATCTATCTCATCTCATCTCATCTCATCTCATCTAACCTAATCTAATCTAATCTAATCTATCTATCTATCTATCAATTTATCTTTCTATCTTTCTGCAGTTCAACATCCACAAAGTACTGCACCTGCCACGAAATCTGCACTTCAAGGTCCACAAAGTCTTGCGCCTGCCACGAAATCTGCACTCCAAGGCCCACAAAGTCCTGCACCTGCCACCAACTATACACTTCCACACCCCAAAGTCCTGCATCTGCCACGAAATCTGCACTTCAAGGTCCACAAAGTCCTGCGCCTGCCACAAAATCTGCACTCCAAGGGCCACAAAGTACTACACCTGCCACGAAATCTGCACTTCAAGGCCCACAAAAAGTCCTGCGCCTGCCACAAACTCTGCACTCCAAGGCCCACAAAGTCCTGCACCTGCCACGAAATGTGCTTTGCAAGGTCCACAAAGTACTGCGCCTGCCACGAAACACGAAAACAAAAAAAATAAAAAAAAACGAAAAAAATCCAGAAATATATTCGCACCCATTCTGGGACCCCTCCGGATGGACCCCTTTGGACCATGTCTCCTCGCTGTGACGAGCCACGAGCCGCGGCCGGGCGACGCCGGGCGACGCCGGGCGCCGCCGCCCAGGTCTCCATGGATGTGGTGCGTGTGAACGCGTGGCTGGGCATGAGAGGAACGGGGGGGGGAAGCAACGGTGGTCTTTGGAACGGAGAGAATGAATCACGATTTGTTGGGAAGGTGGCGATGTGGGTGATTCAAAGGTGATGTGGAGTGGGGAAGAGTCATTTGTAGACCATTTAAGGCCAGTGTATTATTTGGCAGTAGAGAGTACCCATGCGCTTTGGAGGCTCAGATGAATCTCTGGCGCCCCAGGAGATCAGTTTCAGAGTCCCTGATGGCCCCAGCCAAGTGCCACGACATCCTTTGGTTTTAGAATGTTCTAGTTATTTTATTTGTCAATTGATCTGTGGAACAAAAGCACCCCTGTGAGACTCCTGCCTGAAGCACTCTAAACCCACACCATTTATATAGCATCTTGCACCTCAGCAGCCCCTGATGGCTCAATAAACGCGACCTCACGTGCGGTGTGCTGCCGCGTGGGTGTCGCTACCTTCCAGTTCCTTTTGAGGCTGATGGGTAGAAGGAACAGGAAGGGATGGATCATTTTTTAAACAAAGCATTTGCAGCTGGATTCGCTTTCAATGTATCACTGGAAGATGCTGAAGTTTTGCAGGAGTTCAATAGCTGGCTGGCAGGCAGAATGGTCAAACGGACCAGGTCAGGATTCTTACAGCCTTGTCATCATAGACGTCCTTTTCCTATTATAGTTATTTCCTATTTGTGGCTGTGGAACATCGACGGGAGGGTATACTAATTGAATGATTGATGGACCAACCCTGTCTATATTGCGACATATATACCCAGACACTCCAAAAATTGAATACTGTACACACTTACATTGACCCCAGGTCCACCACCCCTTACTGTGGGTATATGTATGGACGATTATGGACGCCATACACGGAGTGTACGGGATTTGTTTATCAGAAATGATATACGATATGATATGTCACTTCTCCGCTGGGTCACCGAAAACGCCCTGTATATCATTGGCTCGGCCGTCGACAGGTTCTCACGTTCCAGTCCACCCCTTCTGGTAACCGACGAAACATGCGACGAGGCGGGGCGGTCACTGGTGAGGTCATGCGAGAGAGAGTTGAAAAGAGAAAGTCACTCGCAAATCTAGTCGTTTGCCAGAACGATATAGCGAAAGAGACCACAACCCTCCACCAACAGGTCACCACCTGCCATGTTTAAGTCTCCACTTCAGCCACCATTTCGGTGACCCTTTTCGAGTCGGGTGCTGGTAGGCAGGTGTTTTGTTAACCACCTGTCATGTTTTGGTAGCAGGTTGCTTTCTTCTTCAGTCCTCCGGTGCTGCCAAGACCTTTTCCCGAATGCGTAGCGAAGGGTTCTCGTTTAACTCTTGGGGGTCTGGGGGTGGAGCCTTGTTCGTGACACGTTGTTTCTACGTCCGCAACCGTCCACAACCGTCCGCAAGTGTTCGCAACCGTTCGCGGTAGAGCGCTAAGGTGCTGCCATTGGGGGAAGCTTTTGCAAGTGACTATTCATGGATGTGTCACGTGTCAGTTTGCGCCGCTATTCCATTTTGATTTGCATGAAAAAGACATGTCGCGCAAGCAACGTGATGCGTGTCGCTGCACAGGCGCAGCGTTTGGTGAGATCTGCAGATTGCTGCGCAGTTCCATTCGGATTAGCGTTTGGAGAGTCGTGTTTTTGGGGTGTTGGATGTGGCCGTGCCATTGGGATTTGCGTTTCAGGGTGTGGCATCGAAGCTCTGTTTTCGTGACAAGTCTCAGCTGAAATGCCGATTTTGGTGGATGGGAGTGTGCTCAGAACGGGTCGAAATCATTCCAAGCGTGTGGTGTGGTGCAAATTTTGTTGAAGCTCACATGAGATGATATTGTCACTTTTCGTGGCAGGCGCAGTACTTTGTGCGGCTTTTGATGTGTGGAAGTGCGATTCTTGTGGCAGGCGCAGGAAATCGTGAGGTTGCGAGGTGTGACGTAGGTGACATTTCGTGGCAGGCGCAGTACTTTGTGCGCGTTAGACGTGTGGATGCGGAAAGATTCGTGGCAGGCGCAGGGAATCGTGAGGTCGTGAGTTGTGGTAGAGGTGAATGTCGCTGTCACATTGGGATTGGCGTGTGAACGGGCGTTGTTTGGAGGGGCTGGACTCGCGAAACTGCTTGGCAGGGCTGCGTGATGTGTGTGCTCCGATGGGTGTTTCCGCTGGACTTTTGCAGGAAGTCTCGTACGAAATCCTCGTTTTGCAGACTTTGACATGTGAGTTTTGGAGGAAGTCTCGTGCGAAACGCTCGTTTTGGGGACTTGACATGTGACTTTTGGAGGAAGTCCCGTACGAAACGCTCGTTTTGGAGACTTGACGTGTGACTTTTGGAGGAAGTCTCGTGCGAAACGCTCGTTTTTGAGACTTGACGCGTGACTTTTGGAGGAAGTCTCGTACGAAACGCTCGTCTTGCAGCCTCGCAGCGTGACTTTTGGAGGAAGTCTCGTACGAAGAGTGTGCCCTACAGAGTGTCCCACAAGAGTGTCCTACAAGAGTGTCCCACAAGAGTGTCCTACAAGAGTATCCCACAAGAGTTTCCTACAAGAGTGTCCCACTAGAGTGTCCCACAAGAGTGTCCCGTATGAGTGTCCCACAAGAGTGTCCCACAAGAGTGTCCGCGTGTCCCACAAGAGTGTCCCGTATGAGTGTCCCACAAGAGTGTGTCCCATAAGAGTGACCCACAAGAGTGTCCTACAAGAGTGTGCAACAAGAGTGTCCCGTAAGAGTGTCCCACAAGAGTGTCCTACAAGAGTGTCCCACAAGAGTGTCCTACAAGAGTGTCCCGTAAGAGTGTCCCCAGTGGGTCAACGCACCAGTTTAACCAGTTCTTTAGTGACGCACCGGTTTAACCGGTGCTTTAGCAAAACGGGAGCTGGAAGCTTGAAAAGGCCGTGAAAAACCCGTGAAAAGGACGTGAAAAACCCGTGAAAACAGGGTGAAAGGCCGTGAAAAACCTGTGAACATTAGGTCTTGGAAGTTGGGAGGTGAAATGCGTCCTTTACGCTAACGCACCAGTTTAACCCGTCCTTTGGACTTGCTGGGGTCTCACAAGAGTGTCCCACAAGAGTGTCCCGCAACCATTTTCCACAAGAGTGTCCCACAAGAGTTAAGAGTGTCCCACAAGAGTGTCCTATAAGAGTGTCCCACAAGAGTGTCCCACAAGAGTGCCCTACAAGAGTGTCCCACAAGAGTGTCCCACAAGAGTGCCCTACAAGAGTATCCCCCAAGGGTTTCCTACAAGAGTGTCCTATAAGAGTGTCCCACAAGAGTGTCCCACAAGAGTGTCCTACAAGAGTGTCCCACAAGAGTGTCCCGGAAGAGTGTCCTACAAGAGTGTCCCACAAGAGTGTCCCACAAGAGTGTCCCGCAACAGTGTCCCGCAACAGTGTCCCGCAAGAGTGTCTCACAAGAGTGTCCCTTAAGAGTGTCCCACAAGAAGTGTCCCGCAACAGTGTCCCACAAGAGTGTCCTACAAAAGTGTCCCACAAGAGCTTCCCACAACAGTGTCCCACAAGAGTTTCCTGTTAGAGTTTCCTGTTAGAGTGTCCCACAAGAGTATCCCACAAGAGTGTCCTACAGGAGTGTCCCACAAGAGTTTCCTACAAGAGTGTCCCACAAGAGTGTCCCACAAGAGTGCCCTACAAGAGTGTCCCACAAGAGTGTCCTACAAGAGTGTCCCACAAGAGTTTCCTACAAGAGTGTCCCACAAGAGTATCCCACAAGAGTGTCCCACAAGAGTGTCCCACAAGAGTGTCCCTTAAGAGTGTCCCACAAGAGTGTCCCGCAACAGTGTCCCACAAGAGTGTCCTACAAGAGTGTCCCACAAGAGCTTCCTACAACAGTGTCCCACAAGAGCTTCCTATTAGAGTGTCCCACAAGAGTGTCCCGCAAGAGTGTCCCACAAGAGTGTCCCGTAAGAGTGTCCCACAAGAGTTTCCTACAAGAGTGACCCACAAGAGTGTCCCACAAGAGTGTCCTACAAGAGTGTCATTTGGACATATGTAGTTTTTTGAACGTGTTTGCATTCGGGTTCGTGGGCTCCATCTTTTTTGGGGGGGAATCCTAGTATCTCAATAGCTATAGGGTAGACCCAATTACTCTGCTTCGGGCTTGTCCTCTCAAGTGAGAACGCTCAGAACCCCCCAAAAATGGTTTGTCCGATTCCTCCATAGATTCGGGCCCAACGTGGGGGGGAACCGTTTTTCAGCAATCCGTAAGATAATTTGAAGAACACTGCACAGGAGTGCTCCTCGTTTTCCTGGGCCTTCATGCAGATGCCTTGAACATTACCAGGCAGGACGGCGGTGTGGCGGCGGGCGGAAAAGGGTTTTGCAGTTTGGTATTGATCTGTGATGTCTGGGTTTTGAATCAGAAAGTTAAGACCTAGGGGCCCAGGGCCATGTCCAGTCTCCACCAGATTGGGTGCTGGGAGCTGTATGTCAAACAGAGCCTGCAAAAGTCCAGACTCACACTCCATCACACTCCAGTCCCCACTCCATCACAACAGAGCCTGGAGAAGTCCAGTCACTCGGAGTATATTCCAACATTGACCCATCTGGTCAATCACCCCAACTGATCGGCCCCATATGGGTTTTCGGAGAGGGGGGGTGTTGGTGTGTGTTTGGGATAGAGTATCGTACTCTTGATCCACAGCCATAAAAAAGGCAAAGGCCAAACAGGAAGTATAGACCGGGTGACCGGGAGCATCCAGTCTAGGTGTGGCTGCATCCTGACAAGTCGGCTGGGGGATCTCCAGCCATACCCAGATAGGATACTCCAGGTCGATGAGCATCTTCTACATTATTTTTCTGACGCAGCTTATGTTCCTTCAGCGTGCTTTAAAGAAAGAACATAGAATTTGTATGAAATTGTTATTCTTTGAGGGTTGGCTTGACAAGGGTGTTCCTGTATCGGCATGCATCGAGAATAGAAGCACCATGAAAAGACACACCATGAAAAGAAACACAATGTCTTTACAGATCAAGCACCATGTTCTTCCCTCCTGCTCCCACATTCTCAACAAACATGTTGGGACCGACCCACAACACCTACCCCAACCACCGAAACCGAGCTTTCGATTACATGATAACAGGAGCCCTGTGGGTTGTCGACAAAGCGAATCAGGATAAAATCCGATTCTGCAACCGCACAGGATTCCGCAACTGGGACTCAGTGACTCGGATGAAGCGGAATCCGATGGTTCGATCGCTGTGGATTCCGCCACTGGGACGTTCGCAACAGTTCGAGCAGCAACCACAGGCCAGGCCTGGACGCACGGCCGACAGACCGCACGGCAGGTACCAGCGTCTATTTTCCTAAGAGAGAACCCCAACAGTAAACTGTTTGGGGAAAAGAGGGCAAGAAGAGGACAAGGTCTGGAGACCGCCTGGCAGCCGCGGCCAAGCTGGTGTCAACAAAGAGGACAACAGGAGGATTAGAAGAGGTCAAGAATAGGCCAAGAGGAGAACAAGACTTAGGAGGATAACAGGAGGACAAGAAGAGAACGAGAAGAGGTCAAGAGGAGGACAACGGGGCGACAAGAAGAAGAAGCTTGAGAAGAGCAGCAAAAGGGATAAAAGAGAGGACGGCAGAAGGACAGGGTCTGGAGGCCGGGCTGGCAGCTGCCGCCAAGCTGTACAGAAGAAGCACAGAAAGAGGACAACAGGATCCGACTGATATATAAGTTTCCGAACCCGGCTCTAACCAACGCAATCATGCGAGCGAACCACCTAGGCTGATCCAAGTTCCACGTAGTTCGCGACAACATTTGGCATCACTAAACTTCAAAGAACTTCCTAGACTCGGGTCAACTAGTCATCGTCCGACCATTTCCTGAAGAGTCTTGGATTTCGATGAAGAACAAGTTGCAGGCTCCGCAGACTCTCCCAACTCTGCAGACTCCACTGAGTGCGACCGCGAGCGCCCCGCCTCCACAGGCGCTGGGGCAACGACGCAGCCCTGCGGGCGTGCTTCGGCGCCGTGGCGGCAAGGGAGGATGCAACGGCCAGGCCCAAAAGAAGGAAAGACTGTACAGCTAGATAGATATATGTATCAGTTATATATACAATATATATATATATGTATATGTATATAATTATGTATATATATGCATATATTATATAATATTATATCTGTAGAGTAGATATACATAGACCTTGGGATTCCTGGCCAACCATTGTCTGACTTTCAAAGAACCACGAGTTTGACTGAGGGAGTTGAGACTACAAAATGGTCGATTTGAAGCTGATACGCAAGATAAGCACGCCTTGCACCAGGAGATGCAAGGTAATCCAACAGGCTTTCTCCCGAGCGAAACCTAGGTTTTGTTGTCGAACATTCCATTGTCGAACAGCTCGGAGAAATCGGAACGATGAAAAACAACCGTGCGGTGTGCTTCGTCCCGGAAATCCGAAGCAAGACCATTGCTTCCATCAACACCCAAGGACCACGGAGTTCGGGTGGTTGATGGACATACTAACAAGTCTATGACCATCCAATAACCCCAAATCCGTGGTCCTTGGGAGTCCTGGGTCCTGGTTCGATGACCAGATCGATCCGATAGTCTTGGTGGCAAGGCAAGGCAAGTCGAGCCGTGAAGGTCTGAGGTCCCCAGCGTTTTGTGTCATGGAAGGACCCCCTGTCATAGATAGAACAGTAGATCCATTTTCTAAAAGCGCCTTGGAAACCGTGCCACTTTATAATTTATGTAGACTCTTGATATGTTTCCTTACCCTCCCCCAATTGGGATTGCATCACTTTTTCTTTTTTTTACCAGAGGGGGCTATTCATCAAGAGTCTACAGTAAGAGTCGTCTCACTTGTTTGGGGGCCCAAACTCCAAAACTATAGGGGGCTATGGCCAACACATTCCCAGACCAGTATTCCTCCAATCTGGACTTTCCAGTCATCTGCAGCTACGACGCGCAGCCTGTTGTCGTTCCTCTTCGGTCGGACCATTTGAGGCGAGAACTACAAGAGAGCAAGCTCGATTCAGCATTGCTTTCAGGAGCATTGCTTCGGGGGGAGAGCGAGCTTGGGCGATCTGAGCTGTTGTTTCCTGGCGACGGGTGAAAGAGTTGTTTCGCGATCTTTTCATGTGGCGAATCCACCGTGATTTTCTGCCAACGCTTGAAGACGTGTCCAATTGGAAGAATATGATAACATGAACATGAAGGAATCCGATGGAATGGGAGATTTGCACTTAGCATGGTAAAGTCTTTAAAACCCAATTCATTCTTCACGAAGGATTATGAAGAACTAGTAACTGGCTGGTGAGACCTATATAGTGATATAGGATGATATAGGTAGATGGCATCCGCGATCTGAGGCGATGTGTAACAGGACCTTAAGCCTTGAGGCCTCAAGGGGCTCAAGGGGTGGTCAGTTTCTATCAGAAATAGATTGTCGCCATCACTGGAACATGTGGCGGGATCAATGGATGTTTGATATTCTTAGTCTGGCTGAATTTGAAGGTCCAACTCGCGTTCCCCATGAGTTACGACTGACCCCCACCTGCACTCACCGTTGCGCCGTAGTCCCTCCTAATGGCTCCCGCGTCTCGTCTTTTCTTGAGGAGCATGACACGCGCAACACGTGTTGCATGATGGACAAGAAGACCAGAGACGCCAACGATGCTGCAGGCGCCGCAACGATGGTCCCGTGGTGTTGGGAGAACGCCGGCCGATTCCACCCTGCCGATCGGCCGATCGGCGCCGCGCCACGCAGCGCAGCAAGGCAACCCCATTGGGCAAGCTTCACTGGAAGCTGCCCGACAGATTGCAGGGAAGAGTTCTGAGGAGTGGCTGGGAGAGTGGCTGGGAGACCAGGGTGAAGACCAGTGTGAATGACAGTTGATCGTTACTCACCTGGATGGGTCATTTGAACATGGGCCCCATGGTGGAATCAGTGGGTGCGTTTCGGGCCCAGTACCGGTCCCAGGGAGCGCCATCCCAACTGCTACATGTTGCTTCGGTCCATGTCACCCGTTCGTTGTTTCGGGTCAAAGTACCCCCGGACCGCTAATGCACGGGTTGGGCGGGTCCTTTCCGAGCCTTTGGGCTGGATCGATTTCGTGCTGGGAGCGAGGCGGGTCGGGAGCCAAGGCTCGGGCTTGGAGAGCCCGTTCGTCCCGGACCGGACGGAGTCCGCGAGAGTCCGCGAGAGTCCATTTTTCCACTACATTTTGTCGTTGATTCAGACGAGGCGGCTGACTTGTGTTGCCTCAGACGACCTATTTGGGTGGATGGGATGGGCGAAGTCCAGCCAGCCTTGGAGATCCTAGACGGACTAGACGGAGCGACCGGAGATCCAAGATCAACTTAGTTAACTTGTTAAGGTCAATCCTCGCAAAACCACATCCGCAGGGAACATCTCGATGGGAATCAGTGCTGAGATGTTTGTCAGGGTCCCTTATCCACGTTTGTAAAGGTCGTCCACCCGAGGACCTATCGTTTTGGGAACTTCGTTCTTTCTGTCGCAAGAACGACAAACAACACAGAGGGCGTTGAACAATTGATGACCTTGATGTTTTCTGATGAAGAATGGATGATCTTGATGTTTTCCTAAAGCCTTTCATCGGGCATTAGGCTGGCAACATGTCAGCTTTAGACCAGAATTTAAGATCCTTAAAAGCCGGGTTGTTGTTACACAGCATTGATCGATATCGCAACAACTCTTCTTCTTCTCACGCGCCCAGAGGGTTGCGCAGCCGTTCATAGGTTCTGTGACCTGGGGACTCCATCAAGTGTCACTGGAGTACCTTTAGCTCAGCTTCAGAGCAAGCAAACCGAACATGGCCTAAAGCCAGAATGGCACGATCAACAACAACAACAACAACAACAACAACAACTCCAACTCCAACTCCAACTCCAACTCCAACACAGAGCATCATGGAAGAGACTCACACTACGTGATGATAAAAACGCCTACCCTGACCAAGCAGGAACCGAAACGCCGGTGTACTTGTCGGGTCTTCGTCTCGGCTCGGTCAGGAGATGCCGGACAGCGATGAGTTACTGACGCCCTGGTGTACTTGCTTCGGGTCCCAGGCCGGGTGGACATGAGGCACCGTAGATGCTTCGGTGCTCAACACCAGGACGAAGCAAAGACTTGCAGTATATATATATATACTTTAACGTTCAATGCAGACTGTTACGAATTAATAGTGTCTTTTAGGAACGTAGCAACAACGTACGTAACTATGAGGAAGTGGTTGTGCATCGGTGGCCATTTTGGCTTCAAGTGGCCCCCCCCCACACATCTTTTAAAGTTGTGAGCCATGGAGCTCGAGGATGCTGTGGCGGACGCCCCCATGCTAGGGAGAGATGGCGGGGGGGCCGTTGACAGTTGAAGACTCAATGGATGAGGACGAGGGCGATGAGAGCTTGGTGGCCCTGGCAGCCAGGGTCCGAGAGGTGGAGTCGATGAGGTCAGAGGACATCCAACCTGAGACTCCCACGGAAAAGTTTAGCCCTACAGAGCTGCAGGAGGAGGACAACCAGGTGGTGAGCCCTTTGATGAAGCTCAAGAAGTTGGTGGAGAAGAAGAACTCAGCATCGTCCTCGGTAGATGAGTCTGCAGTGGCAATGGTAGTCAACAAGGACGAGTACAACATGATCGGAAGTGAAAGTCAGAAGCTGAAGCAGTTCGTTCCGGACACCTTGAGGATGCCCTGGGAGAAAGGGTTTGCAGGAGTGGTACTGAGTGGGGAGTCTGGCATTCTCCCCCTCGAGTGCTTGCAAGAGAGTGGACGCAGCGCAAAGGCCATGGAGATTGAAGTTGAGGTCAAGACACAACAGAAGGAGGAGACCAAAGTGAAGCCCAGCAGAAGAACGTGACAAAGTTCTGGCGGGCTGGATGGTGGTAATTGCTGAGGCAGGTCGACACTCGAAGGGGAGAGAGATGATTGAGAACAGCGGAGAAGAGGTCATGGATGACATATTTGCCAGGAAGAAGAACGGGACACTTCAAGTGAGATTGAGTGCCATGCTGTTGTACGTCAGGTGGGCCGGAGCAAAGGGTTTACACCCGTTCCCGCTTGACGAGGACATTTGCTACAACTACGTGGACCAACTCAGGCGGGATGGCGCCCCAGCGACACGTGCCAGCAGCTTCAGGAGTGCCCTGGCATTTTGCAAAGGTACAATCCAACTGCAAGGTGTGGACGATGTGTTGCAGAGCACTAGGATTGCTGGGTCAGCGCATCGAAGTTGCCTGACGAAGAGAGTGTTGAAGCAACGCGACGCTTTGACAGTCCACCAAGTGATGATTCTGGAGCGTGTCGTGTGTGAGGATTCCTTTCCTGTGCAAGACCGTATCTTTGCAGGGCATTGTTTAGTGTGCATCTACGGTAGGCTCCGATTCGGAGACAGCCAGGGAATCCAGCATGAGCCAATAGTGGAGGGTGGGTATGTTGAGGGTGGAACATCCACTCACAAGACAGACTCCATTGCTGGCCGAGCATGCAGGGTCCTCCCAGTGGTGGCGGCATGGGCTGCTATGTTGCTGAAGCTCAGGGACATCTCAGGACTTCGAGCAATGCCAGGGCGTCCCTTTCTTCCTACACCAGTGGAGGCCTCAGTGTGGCTTTGTGAGATTTTGAAGAAGTACCCACTCAATCCTGGACAGCTTGGTAACGTGGGGGCTCATTCCCTTAAGGCGACAGCCTTGTCGTGGATGGCCAAAGCCATGGTTGCTGAGAAGATCAGGAGGCTGATGGGGTACCACGTCAAGCCCAAAGACAAGACAGTCCCCATTTACAGTAGGGACGCTTTGGCAGCCGGCTTGCAGATCCTGACGAAAATAGTGAGTGATATACACCAGCTCAAGTTCAGGCCGGACGCACCCAGGAACCAGAGATTCGTGGGCATGGAGCCTGGAACCAGCAGCGAACTTCAGGAGCCTCAGGGAGACGAGCAGGACGATGACATCTTGCCGCAGCCTGAGGCCAAGTGGTCTATGCATGAAGTCCCAACTCCTGGTGGAGGCGGAACACTCGTCAAGTGAAGATGAGGAGACCGCTAACGAAGAGCCAGAGAGTGAAGATGAGCGGACCCTGGAGGCAGTGGTGAGGGCGAGGCTAGGGCCTCCCAAGAGGTCGAACGCCGAGCCAAACAGGCATGGCATCACTGGCACGATCCACCACGGCAGTTCAATAGAGGGCAAACTTGCATGTGGCAGACCTATCTCGGGGGTCATGTTCAAGCTCTCCGAGGAGGTTCACGCCCTAGGAAGCAAGTGCAAGGTGTGCGAAGGATATGCCAGGTGGAAATTGTACCAAAGTAGAAGCTGCAGGTAAAGTACCTGAAGTGGATCGACTGCGCAGTAAAAAGTTTGAGTGAGGGAGTGCGGGGTGGTCCCGAGGGTTGGTAGGTCAGAGAGTAAGTGGTCGCAAGGGTCCCCATTAGTGTGTTATAGAGTGAAGTGATGAAGTGCAAGTCAAGTGTTGTGATGGGAGAAGTTCCCAATGTGTGACCTCGTGCCGGGTAGTCCGGATCAAGTCAAGTTGGACGAGGATGTCTCGTCGATGGAAGTGGCCTGTGGAGGACTGACGGGAGGAGTCGTGTCGTGTCGAAGTTGTCGTGTCGAAGTTGTTGAACAGGTAGATAGGTTTGAGCGCATGAACGAAGAGAGAAGTAGAAGGTGTGAAGTGAAGTTGAGCAGAGTGGAGCACGAGAGCTTGTTTTGATTTAAGCGCATTCAAGGCTCAAAGTGCAGGCCGGGTTCGGACCGTTCGGATCATGGCCATGCTCACTGAGTCGACGGCAGTGTTCGAGGCGAAGCTCAAGGATTTGGGGCTCGAAGCCTACAAGGACGAGATGGGCAGGCGAGGGTGGACGACCCTTTCCACCTTTGCCTTCGCAAGCAGCTGGGCACCGGGATCGGGCGATGATGCTGCCTTCATCACGCAAGTGGTGACGCCAATCCTGGGGCGTGCAGATCATCCAGATCTACCGAAGATCAGAAAGCTGTACCACGAGGCATACACAGTGGTGGCAGCTGAACTGAGGCAAAGGCTCGAAGGCACCCAGGAGGCCGATGGATCCAAGACGAGGAAGTTGCCACCGGTGGAACGCAAGCTCAGGTTCGAGCAAACTACGGCCACCTTCAGATCAGCGATCAGTTGGAGCCAGCTCACCACGTTGTGGACAAATTCCACTCAATGCGTGTGGAGGGCGAGCTGAAGTACCTGGCGCCTCATGAAGTTCCAACAAGAGACCAGGAACTGCAGAACATCAAGACTGAAGAGCTGATCAAGAGGGATGCAAGTGGGCACCTGCGGGCGCACGACGAGACGAAAGTGCCGGATGCCGATACTCGTACAGACCTCAGGCTCAGGCAGGCGTACACACGCCGTGGACTGGCGCTAGAAGTGGCCGACGTGATGACCTTCACCGTTCACGAGAAGCTGGTGGACAAATTGTTCCAGGAGTACCAGCGTGAACCACCAGCTGGCTACAATCAAGTGACGCTGGGGCAGTTGACGGCAGCTGACCGCCGAGCTTGGAAGATGATGAGCGAGGAGATCCAAGGGGACCTGGGGCGCAATGGCTTGGGCAGGAGGCTTGCAGATGTTGCCCTGGAGAAAGTGATTGCGGAGCCGGCCTCCATCACAGCAGACCGAGCCGGAGCAGACAGGAGTTGGCAAGAGGAAGTTGATGAAGGAGAATCAGAAGCTCAAGGAACGCCTGAAGGAGGCGGAGACGAAGAAGAAGAAACAGGAACAGTTGCACTACGAAGAGGACAAGACAGCTGCCCCAAAGAAGATGCCGATCAAAATGCCGAAGGAGCTGTGGGGCCTCACGCCAATGAAACAAGGCGAGAGGATTTGCTACGGGTTCAATATGACCACATGCAAGGCAAAAGACGGCAAGTGCAACAAGGGTCTGCATATCTGCATGCGATGCTGGAAGAGCGGGCATGCGGCAATCAATTGCCTGAGCCAGTGAGGCATGGCTGGGGCAGATGAAGCTGCAGTGGAATCGGGAGCTGCTAGGAGACCTCGCGAAGATCCCGAGATGTGTACAGAGAGCTTTTTCGCCGCAAGGCACAGCCCTGACAGACGAAGTGAAAATGTGGGAGGCGTAGTGCCTCAGACGTTTGAGTTGTTTGCAGGGTCGTGCAAGTTGTCTAAGTATTTAAAGTTGCATGGATTTTCAGCCGTAGGCATTGACCACAAGAAGTGTAAGAACCGAGTAGGACTGTGCATAGTATTAGTTTTGTCTAAGCCAAGTAGCGTCGATTACCTCAAGGGCAAGATCGATCAGGGAGGATTTTTCTTCATACCGATGGCACCCCCATGCGGGACAGCGTCCAGGGCAAGAGACAAACCCGTGCCAAAGTGGTTGCAGAAACGTGGTGTTCCCTCGCCACCGCCTTTGAGGAGTGCCGAATACCCCAGAGGATTGCCGGGCCTCAGAGGGCTGAACTTGGAGCGTGTTGAGTTGGCAAACGCGTGTTATGATACAGCTTCACAAGTGTTTCTTGCTGCTCATGCATGTGGTGTATTCGCCTTCATCGAAAACCCCAAGAACAGTTACATGTGGATGGTGCCTAGCATTGCAAAGTTGTTCGCCCTGGATGGAGTGTTTTTCACTTGTTTTCACGCTTGCATGCACGGGGGCTCGCGAGACAAGCAAACTGCACTGCTCCACAACTGTGAAGAACTCTGTAAGTTGGGAGTGAAGTGTGATGGATCTCATACACACAAGCCGTGGGGTATTAGCAAAAGTTTGGCTGGTGGCTGGAAGTTTGATACATCAGCTGAAGCAGAATACCCCCTCGTGTTTTGCCAGCGAGTCGCAGTCATTATGAGCAGGCTTGCCCATACCCGGGGTTACAACACCATCCAAATCGAACCCCGTGCCAGTCCGCTTGCCGCCCAGGCCTCCAACCAGTGGAGGATTGCCGCAGGGAAGCAACCCCGTGGCAGGCGCGCCGCCCCCATGCTGCCCGAGGATGGGCAACAAGTGGAGGTCGTAGTGACCGATCCACATGAGCTCCAGGTAGTGGAGCGTTGGCGAGGCCGTTCCGATTGACAATGTCATCTTGCCGGGTGCATTTTTTCCCTACGGGACACGACTTTTACATCAAATTCCGTTCCAATCAGGGGGAGAGAGCGGGGACGGGGAGATTGCACAGGCCAAAATTGTCACATTGGGTATCCCTATGAACTGAGAGGAAGCAGTGAGGAGAGCCCGTGACCTGAAACACCCATTTGATACAGCCTTTCAAGTACAAGATCACACACTCGACGCCATGTTCCAGGTCATGACGAAGGGTTCAGAAGCAGTGCATCAGGAGAGGGTAGAGAGGCTGAGGTGGATGAAGGCGAGGGCCAAACAGTTGGAAGAGAAGGAGGCGGCCCGACATAGAGGTGAAAGTGGCAGAAGCGTTGAAAGCCAAGAAGCTCCTTCTCTTTGAGGAACTCCTCAAGATAGTGGGGTATGAGGACAGGCATTTGGTTGCAGACATGTGCAGAGGTATGACCATCACTGGAGAAGGGAGGGTGACTGGTTGTTTTGCGGCGGAGTTCAAGCCCCCGATGTTGGATAAGGAGGACCTTTGGAAGGGAGCGAAATCAGCGCAGCAGGAAGTCAGAAGTAGGGTCCCAACACATGTGGCCAGGAGGAAGGTAGAAGTAGCAGGTAACACAGTCGACATTGCTGAGGAAGTGTGGGAGGCGACGCTCAAGGAGGTGAAGTTCGGATGGCTCGAGGGCCCCCTCGAGGTGGACCAGGTGAATGAGAAGGTTGGTTGGACCGCTATGGACCCCCAGCAGGAGGTTTGGCATCGTGCAGGGTAACAAAGTTAGGAATATAGACGACTTGAGTGAATTCTCCATCAACCAGTGCTACGGCCCAGGTGAGAAGCTAGATCTAGGGGAAGATAGGCGGGTAGTCTCAGTCTCAGCAGCAATTAAGTCCGAAGTGGTTCTTATGTACAGTAAGGAGTGGTCATAGGTGATGCGACAATAAAATGTCAACCGACAGCTTAGCTGTCCCGGAAGCATCCCCATTCAAGAAAAAAGAAGAGTCTCTCGTGTGTATGCACAACTTGCGGAGTCATGAAATACGCACATATATATATATAATAGCACATATATATATATATAATATATATATATATATTATAGTGCTTGAAGGTGGTCTATGTTGCTGGTCCGGGGGTCAATTCTTTTTCTTTGCAGCTGATGGTTGAGGCGTCTAAAATCCAAGTTTTCAAGTCAGTGACTAGGGACAGGTACCATGAGAATGACAATAAGTAAGCATACACAGTAGACTCAGACTGGATCAACAAATTTGTGCTGGAAAGGCCTTGTCACATTAGATCTCTTGGCGCATTCCATTTGCAAGGCACAAACAGTCGGACGCACCCATCGGATTATACTCCAGACACTCCATCGGACTGGACTATATTAAATTTAGGGTCTGTCCCATTTCCTGGGCCCAGTGGGTAAACAATAAAATCTCTGTTTTAGAGAAAGGCCTTCACTAACCATCATCATTTGTTACTGGTAATGGGATATGAGATGCCCAAACAGAGTTTATGCCACCTCAAACAGAGCCACAGAGTCCTGAAATCAACGGGCCGTTTCCGGGTGGTTTTCCGATTGCCCGTCCGTGTTTGGAGATGGATCGATGCCACAAGGCGCTCCCCTGCCGATCCGGAAGAGCCTGTCAGGTTTGCTCACACTACGCACAGAGCACGAGCACCAAAGTGACCCTTGGCAGGTGTGGGAAGGTTCGTGAGACATGTACTGTACAGGTCCTACCCAGGAGGGAAAAGTGGATCACGTGTAGGCAAGGGGGTCTTCCAATAAAAAACAACTCATATTCCACATTGTCAGACTGGACCCCGATCGGCCATGCAATAGGGAGAGTTGCGAACAGTTTTGACTCACGCGTACGATGCGCATCAACCCAGACACTCTATGTATGACATATATGTACATTGAGGTGGTTTCTTGGGTCAATGTAGACAATTAGGGCATTCCCAGTTGTCCGGGGTCCTTCCGTGACACACCAAACAGTCCGGCCTCGGCCGCGCTGTGCCGCGTGCCGCGGTCGCGTTCTGAGGAAGTTCGTGAACGACTGCGGCTGTGCCTCCGGGACCCCGGGCGACCTGGATCGATCGGATGGCACGGGCAGAGGGTGTGGGAGAACATTCGGTTGGAGACATCGAGACTGGATTCGAGAAGCAATTCCACTCTCCAATGTAGTGGGCAGCCAGGAGGGGTTTGTCAGCCCTTGGGGTAGACCAAGTGCCCCAGAAGGTGTCAAGAGCCTCCTTCGTATAATGTCCAAACACCTCGAATGAGAATCCAAGGGGCCAGCCAGGCCACGTGAGCACTCACGTGAATCCACAGGTTGAAGACATGGGTCTTCTGTCTCCTGTTGGTCAGATAACATGAAATGGAATTTGGCAGGGAGAACCCAAGGCTGAACCAGGCTGGACCTCGCAGCCTCACAGCCTGGACCCAGGTGGTTCCTCCGGAAACGAGATCCAATTTCCTTTTTTGACAGCCAGACACGACGGGACCAGCAGAAAAGACCCAATCACTTGGGAACCGTTTCAGGAAGCCTCTGTGAGAAAAGGCACCACTTCCATGTCCCATGACCCTCCTGGAGTGTTTTCTTTCTTTTTCACAGCTCAGGCAAGGGCTTCTGCATGTCGAGCATCTCCAGTTCCGCGATCTCCGGCTGCCGCTGGGACAGATTCCGGATCCGGGAGCAGTTCTGGGCTGAGTGGGTGGCCTGGTTCACACCGACGGTCGTGTGTTCCATGTCACGCTGACGAGTCCAACAGTCTTGAAGTATTTTAAATTGGAAGGAAGGCTGGCTCAAACTCTGATTCCCCAGGTACTGTAGCTGCAAGCAATAGTTTGTCATTCTTTCTTTCCGCTATACACCCGCTATCTGGGGTCTATGCCGGTGTTATTATTGTTTTTTTTTTTTTTTAATAATGTTACCATGACCATCCATTTAGTTACTTACATGAGGGTCATCAACGGGTTGATTTGTACCCAGACATCAAGTCTTACTGGGACTGCCCAAGAACTTCTTCTGGGGCCGAGAAATGGATGCGTTTGGGGTGGTGTTTTGGAGTTCGAAGGATCTTTCGGCAGATCTTCCAGTCCGGAATCGTCGATCTCGCCGCTCCTGGTCCCGGTCCCGCGTCGCTTCCGGTCGGACCCCGGGGGTCCGAACCCCGGAGACGTCGACGAGCCGGAGCCCGAGAGTGGGAATGTCCCGAGACAGACGTCGAGGGCCCTCTGGTCTGGGCTGTGAACTCACGGAGAAAGGTCTGGGCTGTGGCGAAGAATCTTCCATGCGAAAGGGAGGATGTGGCTTCGAAATGGATCTGAGGAAAATGGCTCACTTGGTTTGATGTTTGCTTGAATCCTTCGATCTTTTGCAGAGAAAGAATGCCCGAAGGTTTTGTTTCAAGTTATAACCTCCATCACGGTGGGGATCTACCAGAACCTTCCGTTTGAGGTGTCTACAAAAAATAAACAGCCTCTTTGGGGGGGCGGTGATTCGGAGTGTTCAAAACCAAGAGGCCGAACGGAAGGTCTTGGTTTTTGCTACTGTTATAACAAGGGCAGCTACTACTAGTAGCAAAGAGCTACGTTCGTAGCTTCTTGTTGCTAGTAGTCATGCCCTTGTTACGTTCGTGGCGATGCACGTAGCTGACGTTCGTAGCATCGACGTCTCAGCTGTCGGTGCTCGGGGTCTGCCGGAGGCGAAGGCTGGGCTCGCGAACAGATGCAGATGCCAGGCCATGCCACTCCAGGCGCGAAGGTGAAGGGGTCGACAAGTGGGTTGGATAGGGAAAATCATACAGGAAGAAACCCATCAACCCATGGCCAAAATCCATGAGTTTGTAGACTTCCCCCGTTCCAAACACATCCATGGTTCATGGTGGTCATCTCCAGGAGAGATTGGATGGATCATGCATGGGACTTTTTTTTTGGTCCCTACAGCTGGACTCTTGGACTGGTCAGCTCAGCAAATCGCAAGGTCCAAGCTTTTTTGATTCGTTTCGCAATCAACCACCGTTGGTGCCCCAGAAGAGTCGCATGTCCCGAAAAAGGGAGCATGCAGAACTGTGCACCTCTGATTCTGAACTCGCTGTTTCTGTGTCCGTTTTTTTGGAGCATACCATTCCCATCCATTCCCAAGACTATCTTTTATCTTACTGGCACTCAGTATCCTTTCAAACATGAAATGAGTCCCCCCAACAGAAAAGCGAGCAGGTGCAGGGTTGAACCTTAACTTAGCTTTTACAAAAGAGGCCCGTCCGGCGAGAGGACAATGCAGCTTCCACGCAAATCATCCCATGTGTGACGAGTTCAGACTATTTGGAAGGTGGCTCTTTTTCCGATTCCAGATGTGTGAGCTGGAAACAACAGGACATTTTCCTAAGAGGAATCGACATATCGAATTGGAACATGTCGTTGCTGAACCCAAAGCAGCACGATGCGGAGACCACCCGAACACCCGCGTCGGTCTCCGGGACCGTCCGGGAGACCGGCGTGAGCGATGGAGGCGTCTCCAAACCGAAGGACGGCGACAACAACTGTCCGGCGCTTCAAGGGAAAGCGGAGGTGGACATCAGTAGCTGCTGAAGGCGGGGAGAAAGTGAACACCACCGCGGACCACCGCGTGCCGCACGCGTGCCGCGTGCCGCACACGCGAAGGCACGGGGTGTTGCGATGCGTTGTGGGAGATGCTTTCTTTTTTTTATATGTCTCCGCAGGAGTTGCGGTTGGGGCGCCTGAAAGGGAATTCCGTACAGGGAAGAAAGCGATGGCTTTGTTGTTTCTTCCGATCAGAGGAGAGTTTGATGGTTCTTTCGACACAGCCGAGTTCCCCTTTGGATCCAACAGGATCCAACAAATGAGCTGCCAGGCGCTTCGGCGAACGTCGGCAAGATCGTGCAGTGAGTGGAAAGAACCGTCGCGCCGATCGGTGCTGCGAACGTAAACGCTGGCAGGTCATGTTTTGAGACGAGGAAGAGTAGTCAACACATCCTTTGATTTTGCCTTCAGAAGCAAGGTTTGGTAGTTGGATCATCAGTAATCTATGGACTTTTAGCAATGCAACAGGGAAACCCATCATATTTGTCCGTTCCATCTGCAGTCAAGTGCCGACAGAAGGGCAACTGAGGAGGGCCTTTGTTCATGGGACTGCATAGGCAACAGAAACAAATGAATAAGATTTCCAGATCTCCAAACCTTGGCCCCGTGGACAATTTTCTCCCCACAAGTCTTGGATATACCTACAACAGTCTGTATACATTCTACCCTCCAAGCATAATTAGGAGCGTCACTGAATGTCACGGAATAACATGTGTTCTTGAAGTGATAAACACTCATGGTAGCTCTTGGAGCATGTGCTTGATTTGCATCAATCAACACACACAAAGAAAAACAAATAATGTGGCACGCAGTGGAATGCCAGGGCTTCCAGGGCTTCCCCTCAAAAACCACTGTGACGACCAACATGACCCAAAGCTGTTTCCCAAAATCGGACCTCCCAGCAGCAAATTTGGACATAGGACCTCTGTATATAGAGGGTCTCACCTCTTCGCGCGCCAAGACACGATGCTATACCATCGCGCGCCGGCGGATGAAAAGGCGTGATGTGATGCCAGGTATGATAGCGAAGCTATGCTATAGCGTGGGACTCTGCCTAGCTATCTGGGTCTATGCTGGTGTAATTTTGATACCAGAAAGTAGTTGAATGGTATCCAAGTTTGTAGGGATCCACGTACCTTTGAGAAGGTAGTTGGACACTCCATTCCTATTTAGAAGTGTCTCCAATTAAAGACGGTACAACTCTTGAAACGGCAAGCACTCTTGCTAACGGGACGAGCCTCATAGACTCCTCATGCGAACGGCACCCTTGAAATGCCCCCCCCCAACTGCTGTAGAACCCATTTGACCTCTGTTTTGATAGGAAAAGACGATATTTTGGGTGGTTGGTGCGGGTGTCAATAGACCATGCGATGGAACCCTTTAAAGACCACGTCAGACCGGATCATCTTCACAACCAGGACTGTCCCCTAACTCTGCTGAGGACTGATGTGCCACAGAACAAGGCGGGGCGGCTCCCGCGGCGGCTCCCGCGCGGGGTTTGGGGGGTTTGGGTCGCGACCGTTGGACAGACCGGACAGGTGGATGTCTTCGACATGACGAGTTCGCCATGATTTTCCTTCGACGCCTCGGCCGCCTCCACAGGTCGCAGGTCAGACCGCAGGTCAGGACCATCCAACAGGTCACCTGAGTCACCTGGCTACCCCACACGGATCCGGCCAGATGGCTTCACAGGGCACCCCGGTCCTGGATGGTCAAAGCAAAAAGTGTCTTCAACTAAGGACTAATGAGTTGTGAAGTCGAAGTCTTCCTCGTGGCGGCGTCATCATGACTCAATGAGTGCAGTCATCTTTCCTGCAAACTTGTATATAGTTGAGAAGCTATGGCACCACCTATTCTTTGGTACTTGTGGTTGTTCGGGTTTTCTTTCCATGGTGCTCGTTTCAACCAGACTGTGGGCGTGTGCAGTGACATATTGCTGAAGACACAGATATGCCACTGACATGATGGCGCAGCAGTCAAATAAAGCAGAGCATCTTCCGCTGGTCATGGATAAAACCCTTACTATCCACCTGTGATATCTGTTGTGTACCAATCATTTCTTGGAAAGAGACCAGTTTGGCACTTCTCAGGTATCTCCTTGTAAGCTAGGTCTCTGGGGTCTCTTTGAGAAACCGCTCCCATTTGGTCTAGGTCTTCATCCTGTTCGGGGAACATAGCCGAGAGCTCATTGGGCTCGAGCTCGGAGCCCCAAAGCGACGACCCAACACCGCGCGCGCAGATCGGGAGGTGGGGGAGCAGCAGGCAAAAGGCCGGTGTTCGAAAAGAAGAAACCAACACACCCAAAAGTTTAAAAAAATTAACAAAAACACATTACCAGGACCCTCCTTTCGGGGTGTCCTGGCTGGACTACCCCGCACGGATCCGGCCTAGGCTTCCAGACAGGGCACCCCGACAGGAGGGTCCTGGTAGAAAATGCATTATGCGATGCATTTTCTTAGAGGGTCCAACTTCGGAGGTTCGAGGTCTAACTCTCGGATCTCGGGGATTCTCGGCGGACAGCTGATCTCACAGTCCCATGACAAAGTCGCATCAACCGGTGGAAATGCCATGAGAAAAGGTGGGAAGAAGTAAAGAGGTGGTGGAAATCCACTAGGCTGACCGGGTGGCCTGGGTGTACAAGGGATGGTCACCATCCACACTTGGGGCCACGGGTATACCGCGGCCTGCTTGATCAGACGCGCTCCTTTTTTCGCAGATCCTTCGCCTGAGTCAAGGGCAAGGGGTGAAATTCTTCAAGTCTCACACGTTTTTTTGCCGCCTAGAGAAGAGTTGAAATGGATTCGATTGAACTGGTGTTCTTGCCGCCTACAGGTGTTTGCCACGGGATTTCCCAGGTGTTTGTCGAGCATTTGCTGAAAAGGAGGCTCCCGACAGCCCCAAGAACCCCGCACAAGATCATCCTGTAGCATCTACCAGGACCAGCCTGTTTGGGAGTGGAAAAGAAACACCCCCCACCACCACGTGAACAACGACCAGACCTCCAGGACCAGGTCTGCGCGAAGGCCGGTTCGACCGTGTTTTTGCTGGATTAGCTAATTAGGCCAGGAGTCACAAAGGGGTGGTGTTTAGTCCGTAAGTGAGTGGATGTTCTGGGCACCCCTAACCTCCATGGATCGCACCCCGTCTTGTGACTGCTGGGGGTATCTTTTGATCCAAACATGGGTATCGTCCGATCCTTAGAGCCCTTCTTTTCCCCACTCGCTTTGCAGGACCGGACTGGCGCTGCTGCAAGAGCTGTGCCGGGGACCCCGCAAAACACACGGCGCGGGGTTGGTGGGATCCAGCGACCTCGTGGTGCTTTGGCCAAGGAGCCGTTAGGATGGATGGAGTTCTAGATGGCTTTGAAGCACCGTTTCTCTTTGGAGAGAGATATGCTAGATGTGTTTCTTCACCTCTTTCAACAACAACAGCTAGTAGCCGCCCAAGCTCCTGGACTGGTCCGTGGTGACAGCTCCAAAACTGCGAGACCGACATCAGGAGAGCACCAGCGATGTGTGGCGGAATCAGGCTCAGATCGCCGGCAGGAAGCCGGCGAAGAGAGGGAAGATAAGGAGAAGCTCTGATGGCCTTCGCGACGCCGTTCTCTGGGAGTCTTGACCAGAAGCCAGAAGATCGTGCCTTCCTTTCGACCATCGTGACCCAATGCCCAGCGAACGCCTTGGTCTTGGACGTGGGCTCCGGCCCACAAGCTCAAGCCGCGCGCTTCTTGGCATCGCCGCGGCGTCGGGTGTGTTGTGTGGACATAGATGCTGCAGCCCTGCGCAGCGCGGCCATGCTTCTGGGACCCTTGGCTGACGGGGTCCAGGCAGACATGTCAGATCTTGGAAGAATCTTTCGGAGCGAGATGTTCGACTTGGTGGTTGGCTTCCTGGCGGCTAGGACGCGGATCGATCGGGTGAACACATGGGGATTTGTTTTCCGGTTTTTGGGGAGTTCCTCTCCTGGCATAAACCAGGTTTTTGGTATTTTGGTTCCCTGGCTTCGGAGCCGCAAATCCAAGGCTTTTACTCCTTGCAACATCATTCCGATCCTGTGGCGCTTGTAAGAAGCATGGTGCCCTCGAGCCGTCGTTGTTTGGCCTTTTCAGTCTTGCTGGACTGTGCAGAAGATGGCCGGCCCCTTCCAGTGCCTCTGAAGTCCTTCTATCGGTCCTTGAGCCTTGAAAAAAGCGGTGCATCTGCTGTAAAATCTTGAACATTTCTCACAACATCTTAATGCTTCTTGATGCTCTTTGGGGGGGGGAAGCACCAAACGTATGATTCTTGGTGCTTCTTGAAAGAGTCCCTCCCCTAGGACGAGAAATCACGGAAAGTTCTTATTTTCCTATGCACGCTTGGGATGTTCCTTTTGTTTTCGATTTGGCTCCCTGCAGAAGAAAACCCACTTGACGACTCTATACGACTCTACCAATTTTCCACATGTCTTTCGAAGTCTTTCGATGCCATCACATGATCGATCTGGGCGACCTGGTCCTTCATGTTTTTAACCAATCAACCAACCAGGTCCTTCATGCAGCCAGGCGATTTGGGGAGGGCCTTGCGTGCTTCGGGTTGCGCCGAAATCTCCTGGCTGCGACGCGTGGTCTATGTCGATGAACACGAATTCCCCTGTGCGCGCGAGTACGCCCTGGGAATCAAAGATTGAGGTGGAGCAGTGAGGAGCTTTGGCCTTTCGATGACTTCAAATCCTTGCAATCCTCCTTGCACTGGATTCCAAAACTCTTGGTGCAGGATCACGTGTAGCAGTGGAGCATTTGGCACCGCACAGCAGTGGAGCCGCGAACGAACATGAGATATGTTAGCCTGTCTCTTTGGTGCGATTCCTGTGAGGATGGAGCTTTGTTGAAGTTCAGCCCTGTCCTTGAAGAATGTCTGTGGTTCTCTGAAGCTCAATTTCAAGTGTTTCAAGAAGCCCCTTTGAATGACTTGGCCGGGAGCCTAAACCGACAGGACCGACAGGTTCCAGGTTGTTCGGCTTGGAGCACGGGCCTCCATGGTGCTTGCTTGCCTTGGCGCACCAAGTGCGCTCCACGGCGTCGAAGGGTCCTCGCATCGGATGGGCCCTTTGGGTCTGAAGGGAACAAAACATGGGTCACTTGTGACTCACTTGTGAAGATGCTGCAGGATCGGGATCAATCAATCATGGATATATTTAAGCTGCTAACTTTAGTGAGGATATGATATGAATCAATCAGGATCGGGATGCTTAGGTGATCCATTCTGAGAATCCACGGACGATTTCGATTAGGTCACCACTGCTCTGATGCAAGCAATGGCAGGCACACAGCCCCCAAAAAGGAAAGATGGAGTACCCATTGACTTATGTTAACCACTTAGGCCATCTCTGATGGTTTTGCCAAAAAGCGACCACACAAAGCAAAAGCAAACAAATAAAATCCCAAAAGCAAAAACACAAATGAAAAAGCACAAGCAAAAAAACAGCAAATCCAAAAAGCAAAAAGCAAAAAAACAAGACACAAAAAAGCAAACGAAAAGAAACAATGAACAAGCAAAAAGCGAAAAAAAAACAACGAGTACCTACCAGAGCCCCCTACAAGGGGTGGTTAATGGACACCCCCGAATCACCTTAATCTCTTGAAGGTTTCTTCTATCCCCACAAGTCCAATTTGACCCAGTACAAAACCTGGTCCAAACTACCTCCTTGAGCAATGCGTGCTTTTGTATATGACCCACTTGAGTCAGATGACATGATGAAGTCGAACTGACCCTGATGCTTTGGCCCTCCCGCTTCACCCGCTTTCCCGCGCGGTTCCCCAGGCGGCGGCTCCCAGCGGTCGAAGGCTACGCGGAAGGCCTCATGGGTGACCGACATCCCGACATCCCGGGATCCAAACAAAACACCGGTCACATCAACGACCGGCAGAGCGGCCCATGAGTCTGAACCACGAACGTGACGAACGACCTACAGCGAAACCACGGAAGGCCTTCCATGCCGATATGCGTGACTGAGTTGTATAAGCTCCCAAACCTTTCACTAGCCTTCCAATACCATTGCAAAATTGGTTGACCTGATGTTGTAGTTGTAAAAGCATGTAAAATCCTTAGTAAAACAATGGTTGTTTGGTCTCAATCCTTGCGGGCGGTGTCAGGCGTCAATGGTGGGCCAGGAATTCCAAGCCTTGTTTCGTGCAACAGGTCTCTTTTTCAAGGCTAAGCATCTAGCACGATAGGTGAAAACCGCAGGTGGACGATTCATTCATGGTTTGGAGAGACAACTGCGGAGTGGCAGCGATTTTGGAGAGGCTTCCCTGATAGTGCTGTCTGTGGCGGTTTGGGCTGCGGGCGGGTCAGAGAATGGTGAAGCCTCTGAACGATGCTGCTAGGGGAAACCGAACGGAAGCTTGGTAAGTATACAGCCTAGTCCCTTCAAAGCATCTGAGCACCGGTCGTTGCTGCAACTCCCTTTGTTGCCAGCCTATAGCATACATCTCCAGCCTCGTGGTGCAGATGCGGTCGGATGAAGCAAGCGATGCCAACGGGGCTACCAGGCCCCGAGCCTCCAAATAGGCCCCACCTTCCCGAAGATGGCGTGGACAACGACGTTGGGCATCCACGAATTCCAGTCGACCGGACTGTCGGATGAACTCCTTCGATCGGAGAAACGGATTTCCAGGACTCCGAGTTCCTCTTGGTGCTCAACGGAAATCCGCGCTCGCGCCAGAAGGTGGGGGGCCGACAGACAGGGGTCGGCTGCGGGGTGCGGGTGGTGTCTGTTTCCGCTCCAAGAAGGGCAGTATCTACCCCAGACACGACCTGTCTGGGACTGCCATACAGTGCGATGGGGCCAGGGGGGTCAATGTAGCCATATATGGCAGTCCCATTATATAGTCAAGAATCCGGAACCTTCAAACACAATAGGCTTTGGGAACCAGGTCTGTTCGGGTACCCCCTGCTTCAGGAGGAAGGCCCGAAACCCGGCATGGACTCTGAAGAGATTCGGGCGCCGCGTGGTGGAATCGAAGGGCACTCGCGAAGGGCCGAAGAGCGGTGCGTCCGGAGGACGGCAGGACTCAGCAGGACGTCCGGAGGGTGTTTCGGTGAGTCCTGGTGAGTCCTGGTGGGTCGCTCCAAGTCTGAAAGGAGTGATTTCATGGAACTCGTCGTCGTCGTAGAAAGACCCCGTGCTTGACTTACCTTTTGTAAAAGGAACGAGCGTTTTGGAGAAGTGCCCTGCTGATTGGGGGGTTCCAAAGGTTCCAACCTGTTCCAACGACTTGTTTCCGGTTGGGTCTCGGTTTCCAGGAATGTCTCAAAGAAGACATCCTTGGCATCGTGGCGTCTGAAAGCTGTGCTCGGGTAGGAAGATGTTGTGTGAACACAATGGAAAGGTTGCGACCATCCTGCTATCTCCTGCACGCACGAACCCGATGGGTGTGTTTGGTTGGTCAATGCCCATCATCCACTTGGTAAGGTTCAGAAATACCCCGATCTTGCAAGCTTTGATGTCTCAGGCTTGCCATTTCTCCAACTCTTGGAAGAACTATGGCTATGCCACCACCGGCCACTGCCCGACCGAACAGCCCGCCACAAGCCAGCCCGGCTCCCCCAAGCGAGGTGGAAGAGGGCGACTTTTGCTTGCGCACCAACCCCGCGGGGGTGGATCTTAATCGAAACTGGGATGTGCCTCGGCCAGCGTTCCCTGCGGGCGTTTTTCAGCGACGCGGTCGGTGCGTTCGGGGGATTTATTCATCAACAGTCAACCTGACCATACATGACCCCCAGGATGCCAAACCACCATTGATTTAGTAGACACATTAGGTTACGTATTCAGATGCTTACTCTCCCTGGAACAAACATGGAAGTGGATGGCACCCCCTGTTTGGTAATCGGAAAATGGTCCTTTCCAGTGGCCATAATCCACTTCCATGTTTGTTGCAGGGGTGGTGAACGGACCCCGAATCACATCTAAGGGCCTATGATGGGACACCTCAAACCAGGGGCCCTGGTACTGGGTTTTATCCAGAATGGTTTAACCGGTCTCCCTTTCGGTTGTTTCGGGTCGACCGAAAGACCGCCATGGCCATGGCCATGTCACAGCGGTGGAGCTTGTGGACACCGGCTTTGGTCGGACCGGAAAATGGTGCGGGTCCTTTTTGCAGGGTCGAAGTGAGAAGTATTCCTAACTTTTGTATCTTTTTGCCGCCGACGGTCGTAACAGTATTCGACGATTTTTCTATTTTTCCCCCTGTATGTACAAGTGGTGAACAAGTTTCCAGCTAGTTCTCACTTTGATTCCAGGAAGAGTGGCAGCAGGACCGATTGGATATGGGCAGGGAGCGAATTCTTTTGCGTTGCTATGCTGGCTGACTCAGTCTAGTCAGCAGTACTTGAAGACACGGAAATGGAACACGGAGACGTTGAATTGTATTTTCACCATGTTCACCTGAATGGACTCAAAACCCAACAAAACCTCCTTCCAACACTGATGGAAGTGGATGGCACGGCCTGTTAGTGGATGGAGGGGCCGCCTCTTCCTTGCGGGGTCGCCATCCACCTAAGGGCCCAGTGCCCAGGAGTTTGGAAACGTCCGTGGCCCCCTGCGCGGTTGCGCCCGCCGCGCGGCCACGTCACGCCCCGCAGGAATCAGCTGGCTTCGGCAAGGACTCCAATCCAGGCCGGGAGACATCTTGAGCTGGGTTTTTGAATAAGATAAGCCCCCCGCCCCAATGGGCTTTGTTCTATTTTCCCCACCAACCAGGGGGTGGTTGCCTGGGAGACGGTTGAGGTCAGCGTGGAACACTCCATGGATCCACCTAATAAGAGGGTGTTCCATGTCAATTTTATAACAGTTGGCAAGGATTATCACAATTTGGGGGCAAGGTCTGTACTGACCGTCATCATGGGATACACTCCCTGGAACTGACATGGAAGCAGAAAATGGTCCCTTGGAAGACGAAGACGTTCCGAATGCCCAACATGGGGTGCCATCCACTTCCATGTGAAGTTCCAGCGTCCTTGCTCCGTTCGTAGCGATGGCCAGGTTCGCCCCGTTCGTAGCATCCGATCGCTCTGTTCGTAGCGATGGCCAGGTTCGCCCCGTTCGTAGCGAACCTTGCTCCGTTCGTAGCGATAGGTTCGCCCCGTGCGTAGCGAGCTTCTGGTTCCGTTCGTATATCCCAAGATCCACCAGACACCGCATTTGCGCCAAAAACTCCTCCAGGCCCAGCTCCTTTCAGCGAACCCGAGACGCGCATCTTCCGACGCGTGGCGCTCTCGGCGCGCGCGCAGCGGGCGGCGGCGGCGCTCTCGGCAGCGGGGTTCCTCTTGGGTTTTATTGCGCAAAGGACACGTCAGGGGCCAAGCAGAAGATCCTCAAATTTTGCATCATTTTACATCTTTTTACTGCCGATTTCCGATATCTCGTGGTGGATTATGACTCCCAGGTGGGGTTTCTAAGTCAAAAAGACGGAAGTTCTGGGAACCTGCAGACCCCTTCAGACCCCTTGCGGTCCACCCTGGTCCTGACAACCTCATTGAGTAGTGCTGGTATGACCAACTCCAGTAGGATGAGGTCAATTACTGAAGGGAGTAGGATGGTTGATAACCTAGTTGACCTGATGATCATATGAGGTCAGTAGGATGAGGTCAGTAGGATGGTTGATAACTCGAAGGGTCCTCTATAGGCTTTCCTCTAGGCACGTCTCTTTTCGGTGGGAGGGAGGGAGGGGCTGCCGCATGGTGTCACTCCCGCTCGGTGCAGTTGGGGTAACCAGGGGGGTCTCCACTGACCTGCAGACGGACCTTCACTCACCCAGCCAGCCATGGCTGGGCGGAACTCCATGGAGCTTTTGGTGAGAGGGGCAGAGCAGGTGAACAAAGGAGCATGTGTTGTGAAGAAAGAGATACTGAGATACCCTGGAAGTCAAAGACTTTTTAAATTAAAACTTGTCTTTGGATGACCCGAGTCTAGGAATTTCCTTTACTTGGGTGGTGCCAAAAATGGTCGAACTGGACTTCTGGGGGGTATGTGCAAGGTGGACGTCTTTTGGCACCCTCCAGTTCGGGTTCAGCTCCGGAAAGGACTAGGACCAGGATCAAGGAATTCGTGGTCGACCATCTAAAACATGGTTTTTCCATGTTTTTCCTGGATTCCCAAAGGATGGGTTCTGATCATTTCTGATCTGATCCTTTTTATTCTGGTTTCCAACATCGATGTCATC